AAGATAACACTGTTAGTGCTGGCTGTGTAAACATCTATTACTGTGCTGACATGGACATTTTCATAAGGAATTACAGCTCTGCCCAAAGCCTATCTACACTAATTAAACATTTGCATTTAGAAGAAATGAGTGAGTGTTTGCACAGGCACAATCTATTCTATTCACTGCACAGGTATGAGACTGTCATAACTTGCTGTTTGCCACTGCCATTCATTGTTTATTAAACTACCATAGGCTTATAAATGTTGACAAGTGTGCAGATGTAGTTCACATGCAAGTAAAATTTCCATCTCTGGCTTTTATGCATGAAACAAGACACCTTAACACAACTGGAGAATACTGGGCATATTTATTTTTGGCTCAATAGCTTTCATTCTTTTTTGCACTGTCCTCCACCAACAGCCATACTTTACATCTGACATCTTGTGAACTTACACAACAAGAACAGTACAGAGTTGCATGCATTTTTCCCCACATTTCTCAGAATCATTCATTGTTTTAAGGGTGTGAGTAAACTCCCCTTTTCATCCACTAAAGGCTTATGATACAGGACTCACCTGACAGACAGACTTTGGTGATAGGAGGCTGATTCACAGCAGGGGACCTCCTGCAACCATAGAGAAACAAGTCAGTAAGTATAAAAATCAGGTGCCCTGAACAAATGCTTGCATTATTGTTTTCATAGTGTGATTTGGTTTCAGCAGCAACCTCAAACACAAAACAGGTGCTCTCTTAATTCTCTGAACTGGTCAAAGATCAGATTTTCTACCATGTGACATTGTCAAGTATAATTCAGTTTTGGCTTACAGTGACCTCTCTCTGAGGTCATATTGACTGTGTCCACATCTGGCAAACCTGATGCAACTGCAGCAACTGACCCAATTCAGTAATCAGAGGGAGCTTTCATGCACTCACATGCGATGAGGTGACTCTTACACCAATAAATTTAATTAAATGTCACTGGTTTTAGATTTCAATGCTACTGCTGCAAACCTTTGTTAGCATTAGAACCAGACTCTCTATCCTTGGTTTAATGCGAGTGGTTCCTTCATGAGATCATTACATTAGAAATGTTTTTGGTGCTCTGGTGCCCTCAAGTGAGGCATTTTGGCACCTTGAACAGCAGAATCTCATACTAAAAAACTAAACAAACTAAAATTCGCATGCAGATTTTCTACAAAAAAAAAAAATTAAAAAATCATGTTGTGATTTCTAGCAGCACAAATGACAAAAAAGCACCCTGTATAGAAATCTTCATTGCATAGCCGAGACGTTTTGCAACATGCAGTCACTCTCACAAAATGCAAGTAGATACTCTGTAATATTGTTCACCTCATCACAGACACAGAATCGGCCATTAGGAAAAAGAAATTAACAGAAACAGAAGGGGAACAGCTCAGACTAAAGGTATCTGCAGCCCTTTCTAATGCAAAGGCCCCCCCTTCCAACCTCACCATCCAAGAAAGGAAGGCTGTGACATCTCTGAGCAAGGATCAAAACATCACTATCCTACCTGCTGACAAAGGAAGATGCACGGTAGTACTTAACACAGCGGACTACCAGAACAATCTCAACACACTACTAATGGACACAAACACATATGAGCCTCAGCCCTGATCTGCAAATTACTTAACCTCTGTCTAAACACCACCTATTTCCAGTACAATGGTGGATTCTACAGACAGAAGCATGGCTGTGCCATGGGTTCACCGGTATCCCCGATTGTGGCAAACATCTACATTGTCGAAGTGGAGAACAAAGCCCTCAACTCCTTCAGAGGAACAGCACCGAGCCACTGGTACAGATATGTGGACGACACCTGGGTCAAAATTAAAAGCCAGGAAGTGCAAGCCTTCACAGAAAACATCAACTCTGTGGACAGTAACATCAAGTTCACACGAGAAGATGTTCACAACAACAGTTTGGCCTTCCTGGACTGCGCTGTACACATTGAAGAGGACAGGAGCCTGCAGATTGGTGTTTACAGAAAACCCACACACACACAGACCAGTACCTACTCTTCGATTCACACCACCCACTGGAGCACAAGCTAGGGGTCATGAGAACACTGCACCACAGAGCGGAAAACATACCAACAAGCGCCCAAGCCAGAGAGAAGGAACAGAACCACCTGAAGGGGGCACTTACAGCCTGTGGATACCCTAAATGGACCTTTGTGAAGACAGCCACAAGATCCAAGAAGAACAAAACTACAGGGGAGGAGGAAAAGAAGGTCAAACGCAACAACATTGTGATTCCATTCGTGTCTGGAGTATCAGAGAAACTCAGGAGGATTTTCAACAAACACAACATCCCTGTGTTTTTTAAACCCAAGAACACACTAAGACAGATGCTGGTACACCCCAAAGACCGCACACCCAAACACAAGAAAAGCAATCTAGTGTATGCGGTCCAATGCAGTGAGGAATGCACAGACCTGTATATTGGGGAGACTAAACAACCACCACCCAAACGCATGGCTCAACACAGAAGGGCCAACTCCTCAGGTCAAGACTCTGCAGTCTACTTACATCTGAAGGACAGAGGACACTCGTTTGAGGACCACCAGGTGCACATTTTAGACAGAGAAGATGGATGGTTTGAAAGAGGTGTCAAGGAAGCCATCTACACCAGGGTCGAGAAGCCGTCATTGAACAGGGGAGGGGGTCTACGCCACCACTTATCCCCCACTTACAATGCTGTCCTTTCATCACTTCCCAGGAAACTCAACAAACATAACCTATTGGCCTCAGGTGAGGATGCCAACGATGGTTGTTCAGTCTTGGCCACGGGTAGTCCTAACGACCGTAGCGACTGTCGTTACAACAACCAGGAACACTAACGGACCAGCAGCATCGACGATCCTGGCAAACAACCCCACTGAGGTTAAATAGCTGAGTTTCCCTGCCAGTCAGTCAGAACTGAAGAAGTTCCTTGGATGAGGGACGAAACGTCTTCCAGTATCTTCAACCAAGTCCAGTTGCCCTTGACTTTAAGCTTCGTTGGATAACTATGACCTGGATGACTGAGAATCTTCACAGACATCAAGCAGATACTATAATAACAGAACTTACTTATTGGCTGCACATTGTACATTAGTCAAGGTGGTGAAATTGTTCCTAACAGTCCGAAGGCTTGCCAGAACCTTGAAAAACAAAATATGAAAAAGTGTGAGAAGAAGAAGCCAAAAGTGGCAAAGGTCTGGTTCAGAATGAGAATATACACAGTGATAATGTGGCAATTTCACACACATAATATCTATGGTATTGTGATAATGTGATGGCTACTCCAAAAATAGTTGTATGTCTGTATTTTAAACTTTTAAAATATATTATGTATTAATCATATTTTCATGGAAAATGCAGCTGATTATTCAGACAAAACAATTAGTCAATTAGGTGTGAATTCAATGCAGTCTTTGCAGCTGCCTCTCATTACTGAAGGGTGTTTGTCACTCCCACTCAAACCAGCACAAATCGATTCTTAACCTTTGCTGAATTAGATTAAATTCAGCACGATCAAAAACCTGAATTTTCTCTTAAATATGTTGTAACAAGGGAGGAAACTAGACTCGTGCATTCATTAGGTTCAAATCTAAAAGAGTGCAACCGCAGGACAACTATTTTTCTAAATTTCAAAAAGGGACAACACCACCACATGACGTTATGATTGTTTGGACCTAATTGCAACCATTAGAGAGCAGACCTTGACAGCACCAATTCAATTACAGATTTTACAACTGTTTTGGGGATGATGAATATTCCCAAATAGCCCTTGCTATGCCTACTAAAGGCCACCAGGTGGCAGACAGGATAATCATAAGTGAGTTACTTTCTAGATCCATGAAGTGCTGCACATCTAAAAGCCCCTTGGCAAACCACCATTAAGATGACTTTGATGTTCTTTGGATCAGATTTACTTGTAATCAGCTCTTACCTGAGCAAATGGAGTCACAATCAAGTCCTCACCATGCCTGAAATGGGATGTGAAAACTACTGAGCAAAGGCTGACAGTTACACAAACAAGTACACAGTTGAACATAGTGAATTCAATACAACAGTCTCTCTCAGTGATTATTTCAACTCACAGTTCTCCAACAATGGAAGAGTTTCGAGACAAGGACTTTGGTGATAGTTCGTAGTCGCTGTCGGAGCGGTACAGGAAGGACTCCCGGCGCTGGCCATGGCCCGCCAGGTTGGGATGGAGAACCAAACCTGAACCCGGGGATGCCTGCGGGTCTGAAGGACTGCAGCACAACGATGGGCCATTTTCCACTTCAAAGCTAAGGGAAGAGAGAGATGAACAACAGTAATCAGTTCAATAATAAAGGAGAGGAGATTCTGCAGCTGAAAAAGAAATGATGTTTTTGGTACTTCCTAGATAACCTTCAGGATCTGAGTTGTTCCTACACCAGCCCAAAAAAATTCTGAGATCCGTCCATTTCAAAGCATTGCCTTGATCATGTGTATGTCTGATCAATCATTGATTACATTATAAACACTGGCTATCAAATCATCATCATAATGTACATCAAGCACTTTCAATAAGCTGCCACTAAGTACTGGCTTGTGCAACATGTTTACAAATCCCATCCAGAAAAGAGATGGTTGCATAAAGCCTAAAATGATTACTCACGCACCCATCCATGGCCTAAAAACAAAATGACTGTGCTCATTAAATAAGTATGCATTGCTGGTCAGTTAGAGGAGGGTTTGTTTCACTGTAAACTGTTGCTGTGGTCTGTGTCTCACTGGAATACTGTCCATGTCAGCTCCACTCATTCATCCCTGCTATGGCGCAAAACAAGCAATGAGAAATTAGCTCCTTATGGTGCGATGTCAGAAATATTCTAATGTTCAATTATTAGCCTTGTTCATTTTTATGGTGACATATACGCTATACCATATCCAATGGCCTTTTGAACTTGTTGTGTCTGTATCTACCTGCTCAGGGAGTGTAGATAGGAAGTACAGCAGTTAAATCTGGAATAAGCATCTCCTCTCATTGCTTCAGATTTATGTTTTTGTACATGGTCTTTGACAAATGAATCCAATAAGAAAAAGACTGAAAACATAAACTAATGCAACATAAAAACAAAAACAACAAAAAAAAATGCAATTATAGAAAACAAAAACAACAGATAGTGGAAGATTTAATTGATAATTTCTTGATAAGTTCAATTATCAAAACGCTCAAAACAAAAGCAAACCAATAAGCAGCAGATTTGATACAAAGTGTACATGTTTTGTGTAAACATAATGCAAATATCTACAGTCCATTTACACAGCATGTTTGCTGATGCCATAGTGAAATCACCACAGATGCACAGACAGATCAGTTTGTCACCACAGAGTGGGTGCAGGTGGAGAGGACAAGCTATTGTGTGACCACATGATTAGGTCAGATGGACCGCAGTTTTGAAGGAAAGGTCAAAGTATCAATGCTCCACAGGAACAACAGATGCCGCAAATCATGAATAATAAAAAATAACGCTCACTAAATGCAGAGTTCAACTTGGATAATATGCACACAAGTCAAGTCTGTGTAATTGACATATAAGACACCTTTAAATCACATTAACATTTTATTTTTTAGTCCAATTTGAGAAAGAAAAAAAAACCACCACTTATAGCTTTCACAGACATACTCAGTACTCAACCAGCTCCTCTAAAATCTATCTTATAATGGACTGACTGCCCCAAAGGTCAGTTCACTATTTGCCCTACATTTACCCCACTACCCCCGCCTTTGTAATTTCTGCAACATGTGGGATTAACCAGGCACATATCCCACTGAGGCACTCTCAGTCCCACACCTCTGCCAGAGAAACTCAGATTAATGTGAAATGTGCAGTCTGTGATTACACACATGCAGAACGATAAACGTCATCTGTGTTGCGCTTTGCGTCAGCCAAATCCCAACTTCACAACATTAACAACGCGCTTTACCTACAGCAATCTAATCTCTTAATCTGACACAGGCAGGAAACCACAGTATGTCAACACGTTATGTCTGCGGATCCTGAGATACTGTAAAGTTTGCAGCAACGGTCTGTAGTAATGAATCTTAATAAAACTCACGTTTTTTCTATGTTTTTTACTAGCCTTTTTTTCCCTTTTGGCAATGTACTGTAGAGTTCACGTTGCAATCTACCAATGATGCAATCATTCTAAAACATCTAGACACATGTAGAGAGAAAATAAAGAGAGGCTCAAAATACTCAAAGAGACAGTCTATAGAGGTAAATAACATTTTGTTAAAGAAAGAAATATTTCAAAGAAAAGTGTTAAAGAATCACCTGGGGCAAGAGAGGTGCTCTCTATTGACCACTTCCTCGCTGAAGTCAAAGTGCCCAACTCGGCACCTAGGAGACCTCCGTGGCATTCTTCTCTCCCTTCCACCACCTCCCTCCTCATCGGGCAACAAAAAGCACTGATATTCTGGCTGCTCACTCATACATCCATACACACACACACACACACACACACACACACACACACTCTGACAGATCCCCCTTTCTGTGCAGTAACAGGCCACGTGCTGGAATAATGTAGGCTTGGCAGACGCTAACAGGCAGATCTGGGCTGGAACACAGGGAATGGACTCGCAGTCGCTCTGTTTATCTGACCGCCTGTCCTTTTCCCCCTCAATATTAAAGTACTGCAGATTAGTCAGTCATCATCCCGCCCCGCCCTTCAACTCGGCCACCTATGATGAAAGCATATGCACTAGAGTTTACAGTCAAATGGGAGGCATTAAAGTGGAAAATCCAGATTTTTATTTATTTGCCAACTTAGAAACTCACACTAATGCACATATGGTGTAAAGTAAATATTTCCCAGGTGGGGAAAAATCACCTGTGTTGGAACAATGGAGAGCCCTTTTCATCTTGCCTATGGCTTTCAGACCACATCTACTTGAAATCACAATGACCGCAGTATTGGAAAATTTCAGTTCACTCCTGATGTTAAAAAATAGAAGGCAGGAGTGAGATGGTCAGAGGGGGAACTGTAAGTAGGGTAGAGGTGTCTGGGACAAGGTTCCCAAGATATTGTAGCGATATTACAGTCACACTGTCAAACATGTGAAGTCATCTAGTTTAAGGGTAGAACAGCCTGGCCGTATACATTTCAGACAGGACTGTAATTTCCTGTCTGACTGCTATCCATACAAAATGAACTAAATATGATCTAAAATAGCATTAATGTACTAGCTCTGGAAGAGGACAGTGTATTATTAGAAAAAAATCTATGTACATTTAACACTATGACAATGGTTATATATTTTACGTCAGCATCAGTAGAGTGGATTCAGCACTTGATGTACCAGAATAGGCTGAAAGCAAACCTGATAGTCTGAGTGGGTGAGAAGAACCAGAGCCTCCCATTATCATCTGAGTGGAAACAGAGGGAAAAAGAAACAGGCTGGCTTCCTTAACCAAGACCTCTGCTATATAAATACATATTTCTAAAAACATCGACTCCAACTGCACCGGATCCAGAAAATACAACAACTGCTACTCAACTAAACAATCGTGAGCACTGATGATGAGCATTTATTCATGCAGGGGTCAAGACATTTCTCTTTCAAGAAGAAAAACACTTGGCGCTCAGCTCTGCTCAGTTTGTACTTTTCTATGTTTCAACAATCTAAATATTTTAAGATGGTAGAACGCATCGTCTTTTGCACATTTCAACACATCAAGAAAAGTAGCAGTGTAATATTGCATGTAAGGAGGTTGCTTGCCATGTGCCTACAAAGCAACACAGGATCTGGAAAAGATTTATTCAAACTTTGTCAACATTCCAAAACAGCTGTAATTCTCTTACTGCTACATCTGTGTACTCTGTACGTAAGGCATAGAAAAAAAGATCCTTCCTCTGTTGCTTTTCCTGAGGTTTGTCACATTTTTCCCCCTTTCATTTTCAAGTTCATTATCCAAATGGAGGGTCTACAGAGCATGCCTCCATATTGCACAGACTGTAAAGCCCTCTGAGACAAACGGGATTTTCGCTCTATAAATAAATAAGCCGCACAGTTTCCTGATACAAAAAGGTATCATTGCCACATGCTTCATATGTTTTGGGCAGTGTCTGTTTGCAATGTTTTTACATACCAGGGAATCTCTGATAAATGACTCTCCTAGACGAAGGGACATTTTTGGCAACTTGAAATAAACTCCTGCTAATTAAGGGTCCGTGAGAGTTACTAAATAAATCCCAAATAACCACACACCTGCTGCTGCTCTTTTAGGACACAGTAAATAAATAGAGTTGGCAAATACAGACAAACAGAGTGAAGAAACAGCTCTCTCCCTCTCTCTCTCCACACGTGTCTCCCTCTTGCACAGACACCCCAACCAAATTCTTACCAGGTGTTTGCCACAGTGAAGCGCCTGTATCGACGGAGATGCTTGCTTATCACCTGCTTGCGAAAGCATCTCTGTGAGCTGTGTGGTGACAGTTTCTGGCCAGGATTAACAGCAACAACACTGTGCGAGTCTGCCCAGTCCGACCTGAGCTCCTTGCTGTCTCCACTGGCTTCCATTAGTGCATCTGCTTCACAACGTCCTTACCAAGAAACTGTTAATCTATGAAAACTATCAGAGCCTTTTCTCACTTGTTTTATGTTTAAGAATAGTTACTGTATTGAAGGTCCCATAAAGACACATTGAAGACAAGATCTCTCCTGAGATCAAATTCATAATACTGCTCTCACAAATATTCACTCATATACTACTAAGAATGGGATTCATTTGATTGGTAGATATTTTGCAGACACCTCCCTCCCCTGCAATATTTACAATGCAAATCAAAATCTAAAACATCAGCAAGCTGATTGGTTAATCACTAAAAGCTGGAAAATAACAGTAAACGTTGTGGAGCCTCCACAGTGACATGCAATAAACAAAGCAAAAGTTTTCCAGCTTCTGACCTTTAATCCAGATGAACGCAACCCGTGCTTTCAAAAAGCAGTAGAGCAGAGTATAAGTGTTACAGAGATAAAAGCAACTGATAAAAGAGTCAATGGACAATTCATCTCTAGAGAAAGCCTGTAATCATCTGCAGTCTAGTGAGGTGAGTCATAGTGGTTCAAAGAAAAATATGTACTATATTTGGCAAATTGCCACTCAATGATGTAAAGTTGTAGCCATCTTAAAAGCTCCATTACATACATTTTGCCTGCTTTAATGCTACAATGGAACAGCAGCCTACTGTGTTCTGCCCCAGAAGCAGACAACAATAACAGCGTATTAAATAAAACGACTGCCAAATTATTTTGTATCATATGATGCCTTAGAAAATCTGTATTCTACTTCGGGGCACAGGCTCACAGTTGTTACTGAAAGAAAAACTAAGACGAAAACAAGGTGTTGAAAAGACACGCCAAAATTAGATGCAGAGTAGAGTAGATGCAGCCTCCCAAAGCTAAATTCTGCCCTTACAAAAATTAAAACAAAATAAGAATTAAATGTAGTTCTCAAAAACTATGAAGAACAAATTTCCCTTAAGTATTATAATCCTCCTCAGACAGAAGGGATATCTTACAATGTCAGATCACAATGGCTGTCCTTTGTTGTCTGGAGCCTTACCTGTCAGGGTCAGCCTGTGTGATGTCGATGCGGGGCAGAGAGGCAATAGGCAGACTTGTGGGTCTGATCTGGGTCACTGGATCTTCTTCAGGCGATAGCGACCAGCCCCTGTCCCGGTCCTTTTCCGCCTGTCGCCATGACAACGGAGGCAGCTGCAGGTTGCCAGAAAACCGCCTGTGGACTCTGCACACCTCTACCCCGAGGGTGCTGCCTGTGGAAAATTGTCCCACAGGAGGCTCCTTATTCTCCTGAAAAGAATGAGAATGAATCATTGGGTTAGATTTCCACGAAATTGGCTCATAATATTCCCTATGGACAGGCTTTGTGATGAAAAAACAGGAAGAACATGAGGGTGAAATGTTACCAGGTCAGTGTCTTCTTGAAATATAAAAAGGGTGAATTAAATGTTATTGTGTACAGATGCACAAAAACAACAAGATTAAATAGAAATAATGATTCTTATAAAGTAAATCATAGTTATCCAAAACAATAAAAACCAAAAGAGCCACGGTTAAAACAATGAAAAGTAAATTAATAAAAAGAACAACAAGAATATAGTAATGCATAATAGAAAGGCTTTGGGTAAAAAAAAAGAAAAAAAAAAAGACAGAAATAAAAACAAAAGTGATTTAAGAGCCAGAATGAGCACACATAAACATGACTGTTCTCCAACGACTCAAAGAAGTACAAATGTTTAAACACTAACTAAACACGCATCTACCCTGCACAAATCCCTGATTTAACAAAGTGGCACAGTATATTGGCTACATTTATGTTTTTCTACCACACAGAGAAAAATTAAGCATTTGATCAAAGCTTATTTCAAGCCCTTGACACCTGAGCTGCCAATTGCCATTTTTATTAAGCTGTGGTGAATATAAATTCTGTGAATGGTTTAGTCTGAAGGTTCGGGTAAGGAGCCCTGGGTGCTTGACTGTAATGACGGGTGGTAAACAAGCCAGGGCACTGAGGAAGCAGAGGCAGGCTTCCAGAGCTCATTCTGCATACATCACCTTCCACTTTATTTTCACAGCATGCAAGTGTAAATGAAACACGCAGATAGGCTTCAAATGAACAAGGGAGATAAGGAGGCACGATGATGCCGACAATGGCGACAGGGGAAAACGGAGGATAGAGGAATTCCTAGAACGTGGCATGGCAAACAAGAAAACATTTGTCTATTTTGTGTAAATGGAAGAGGAGATTAGACAGTGTGAAAGTCAGTGTGAGAAGGAGAAGGAGTGAAGCCACAGTCTGACCTCACTATCATCAGGACTGTCAGGACACCAAACGAGACCAAATCTGTACATGATTGGCAACTAATTCTTTCCTGATTGACTGTATTTACTTACGATGTAATAGTAGGGCCACTGTATGTTTTTATTTTTTTTTATTACAGAGCCATATAGAGGGTAATGTTTTGATAAAACACTAGATTAATGTCATACATTTTTTCATTTGTAAAAACAAAAAGGTGTTTTCTGAGTTTTTTTTTTTGTCATAATAAAGAGTCAGTGCTTTGAACAGAAGGACGTATCTCATAATATTGGTTGGTGAAAGCACCATATATGTGACAGCACATCTGCATACCCTGCTTTTAGGGTAGATTACAGAGCCTTTAATAACACAAGCAAGTCTGAAAAAATTTTTTTTAATGATTTTATAATCTGAGATTATCAAAGTAGTTTCTTGGAAATTTGGGATTCCCCCCCACTACTCACATTTTCTACTTTAATCTCAGAATATCAACTTTTTTCCTTCATAAATTTACAACTTTAAATTCAAGTTTTTTCTCTGAATATTACCACCCTCCCCTGGCTAAATGCAGTTACTGGTTGCTAAAAAGGTACTATAGCTGACCAACACTGATCAATATTTTTAAGTAGTATTGAAGTGAGACATTTTACAGTAAAAAAAACTCAACTCATCAGTGCTCTCTAGTGGGCAAACTATGTAATGTGACACTGTTTCTAAATTACCTCAGACCTAGCTTTGGCATAACTTACTTATCTGCCAACATATACACTAGTACTGAAAAATCTGTAACTGGCGAATATCAGCTGATATATTGGTCATGGCTGATTTACTGTTCTAGCTATATTACTTCAGGTACTAAGGCCAATAATTATTTTCATTAAAGATTAATCTACTAATAAATTTCTCAATGAATCGATTAATCTAAATGTCAGAAAATTGTGAAAAATGCCCTAGAGTTAAGAATTCCGTTGCAAGCAACTGCTTCACTGTATTTGTTGTCCATATGACAATAAAGAAACTAAAAAGGTGACTTCTTCAAATCTAATCTAGTCTTGTATTATCTGACCAACTGTCCAAAACCAAGAGAAGACTTTTAAAAAAAACAGCAAATCATTACATTTGACAAGCTGAACCTGTGAATTTAATTTAATAATTATATTACAAAATTTAATTTAATTATTAAATTAAAGAGAGGAGAGAGGCTCCCATTAAAATCTCTTCTTTATGGAAGAAAATTACAACGTTTTCGAGTCCAAATTGGCTTCTTATCACAGACAGAGAGATTCTCTGAAATGACAGTGTTGCGAGTGCTGTGAGAGATGAAAGGTCAAAAGGAAAAATTATCATTAAAATTAATGCGTTAGTCTAGCGAGATGGAGTGGTGTCACATGAGGGAGAGAGCTGACAGCGATCTGAGAAATAACGGAAGAGAAGACGACAGAAAGAGGCAGTCGCCCCACTTCCTCTTTCCAGTGAAAGTGAAAAACCGTAATGGCAGGGACAAGCCAGTTGGGAAGCAAAAAAGAAACATGAATGAGAGTAAACTGCAAAACAAAGGGATGTGACCAGGTAGACAAGAGGAGACCGTTAGAAACCAGAGACGGGGGTCTGGCTTCCTTTCTGATAGTCTGTAAACACAGCTCTGCTGACTCCCCCGCTTCTTCTAGGAAATGCAATTTATCTGATTTATTGTGCCTGTCTCTTAAAGACACATTCTTGCTGTCCAAGGGAAAGGGGGTGAAAATTAAATCGTGCAGAAAATGAATCTGTTCAGATGACTGTGTTTGACAAGAGTGATAGTGTAAGTGGAAACAGACCCAGCTCAAAGGTTATAAGGACAGACCTAAATAGTCTCTTGCCAATATGTCATAGTACCATTGCTGTTTCACTGCCAAATTATTCATTATGTATTGATTGCATTGCTGATATCTGGACATGTGATTCTAGTTTTTTATTGATCCCATGTCCGTTGTCTGAATATTATTTGGAAGAGGAAATACTGTTAATTATATTTGGGCGTACTCCTGTACATAAGCCAGGTATAAGATAAGCATGATGATATTTTTAGAATTCAACACATTCAACACAGCATTTAGAAACTTGACTTTATCATATGTGCCGGCCATAAAAGGACAGGAACTGAGATGAAAGGCAAAACAATAAGTCTGAAATGGAGGTAGTGTAGCTCCAGTGTCAAACAGAGGCAGAGTGGGTGTTTTCTCGATGAAGATGAAAGCTCTTTCTTGGCCACAGAGCCTAAACAACTACAGTGTTCTCTGGGATACTTCCAAAAATCCTTTTTGAAGAAGGTGATACAAAGGGGACAGTGTTAGGAGTGAAGCTCCAAAAGCATGGTTCAATGTAGAGCCTAAATTATTGAATCTAGGAGCTAAAGGAAAAAAAAGAAAAAAAAGAAAAAAAGTCAGCTTTATTGATTAAGGAGGTGTAGAATCTGAATGAAAGGTGGGAGATGGACACACAAGGGTGTTGAGTGGTGTAGAATGTTAGGGATAGACGACTAGCTTAAAAAATTAGCTTATAAAACCATGATAAAATACATAATAGTTACACATAGTTTAATTTAACTACTATACTGATATTAGCATCTTGTCATATGTCAAGCAACTGCTGTCTTCTTTGATATGATTTCTTTTTTTGGAGTCTTTGATACCTTTTACTGAAATACGTTATTAATAATTTATTAATGTGATTCAGTTTACCTTGAATGCCTGTTTCCATCGGGATAAAAAATTGATGAACTGTGCAAACACCAAGGTCAATGACATGAAATAAGAGCAGGACTCGTTCTTTCTATCCCGAACAAAGTCTTATACGTTGTATTTTTTATGAAATATGTTAGAATGTTGTCGATAAACCAAAATCAATATAGACGCTGACATAAAAGGTACTCGTGTCTCATATGGATCTTTGGCTTTGAGAAATGCTACAGGAACTACTGAGTAGCATGACAGCTGTTGAAAGTAGTATTATTATCTATTACAGTATGCGGAAAAACAGAAACATTAAAGAAGCCTTCACAAATATTCCTGTCACTAGAGTGCAATGAGCATTTTAGGTGCCAAGAATTGAGGATTTTCAAAAATGAGAGGCGAACTATTGAAAATGTGACTGCTTTTACCAAAATCACTGCTGGCCACAAAGTAAAAATCACCATTACTTATTCCTGACATTACTGATCATAGACCGGATTAAATTATGTATATCCTCTATAAAAGACATGAACGAAGAAAGTAAGTTTTTGCATTACCAAAACTAGCCAGTTATGAATTCTAGGAGGGTTAGAGGGTGATGGAGGCACAGCAGGAAACCTTTCATCATCCAGGATGTAGCTTGCCCTCTGAGCTCCTCTTGGACAAAGTCAAAGTAAATGATCTGGCCTGCCTGCCCAGTCATAAACACCGGTGGCGTGGAAGAGAAACAGATGGGCCTCTCTGTCAGATCTGTCCTTCCTCCTCTCATCCATGTTTCCATCCAGTCAATGCCCCAAATGTCTCCTGGTGTGAACTGTCTTTTAACACCTTTCCTCCTCTTCTCCTCTTCTAAACTCTGCATCATTCCTCAACTCTGTCTCCATCAACTCCCCCCCCCCCCCCCCCCCCACACACACACACACACACACACACACACCATGCTGTCTCCAATCTCTGTTCCAACACACACCACCTCACTCTCTGCAGCATGTCCTGCCGGATAGCGGTCTGTTCTGTACAGTAGAGTCATCTGTTTATGAGTCACCGACCACCACACAAACATAATGCACCTTGCTGCCTCAGTGTATTCCCGCTAGAGCTCACTGTATCTTTGTTCGGAGGGAAACAGTGGAAAGGCAAATTTACAGTAACTGTGCAAACTGCAGAATTGGGCTGTAAACTTTAGAGGTGAGATGCAGAATTTCAGATAAAAAGAAATCATGAGCGTGTAATGAATGGATAGATGGATTCATGGTTGCACAGATGGATGGTTGGAAAAAATCAATACTTACATCGCCTGGTGTAACCCCCTGTGCACTACTGCTTTTCTTCATCCTGAGGGATATTCAGCCAGATTCTTTCTCCCTCCCTCTCTCTCCGCCTCTGATCCGCTCTCTGAAAGCACAGCCCTTTCCTGCTTCTCCTGCTCTGGGCAGCCTCACCAGTACGCCTGCACATGGGAAAGAGAGAGTAGGTTATTCTGCCTCCCTCACAGTCATCATCATCATCATCATCATCATCATGTCTGCAATTGTTGCCAGATTTAGGTTATTGTTCTGACTTGGTTCTACAGTCCTGTGAGCAGTCATTTGACAACTCTATACAGTGTTGCATTACACAATGTAATACAAAACCTAAACAAAAAAATATTGTAAACAGACTGATGAATTACCTATCCCAGCAGTTACACATGAATACAAGTAGACATGCACAGTGTTGTGAAATTAATGGAACCTTGAAGGTACCAATAACATAGGTATAAATTAAAACTCTATGGATTGGAACTTTTTCAGTACTAGTTCCAATAACATGTGTAATATTCAATATCAGTACCAAAACAGTATTTTTTTGATAGCTTACTTTTTAACATTTTAGGTCTAGGGATTCCAATATCAGATTGCCATTAACTATTGTACAGATATTTATGGACCCCAAAAATGAAAAATGGTGATCCCCTTTTCCTATAGTGCCACCATGAGGTTGACATTTCTAGTTTTAAGTGAATTTTGACTTTTTGATGGATTGCTACAAAACCTGACAGACATTCACGTCCCACAGAATTAAGGGATCACCAAAGTTATTGCAGTTAACTTTTCCTCTTGTGCCATCATCAGGTCAAAGTTTCAATTCCTCCAATGCTTTGGTTTGTGACCAAACACCTCCAAAACTAATGGCATTGAATCAATGTTTTATTTCGGTTTACATTATAATGTACAAAGAATGACAACTTGCGTGAATACACAATTTACAAAACTCATACACATGTTTACACCAATCCATCCAAAAATAAACTGAAAAAGGAATAGGCTGAAGCCCAAGGCTTATATTTGCCTATCTGCCATCAGCCTCATCTGTGCCTTTTGTTTAGCGTTAGTAGTAAATGTTAGCATGCTAACATGCTAAAGATTGTGAACATGGTAAACCTTAGATCTATTAAACATCACCATGATAGCATTGACGTTGTGAGCATGTTAGCATGCTGACGTTAGCATTTAGCTTAAAGCATTGCTGCACATAGAGTCTTAGCCTTTGTCTTGTTTTTTGCTAAACTTTTTCCATTCAACAAAAATGCCAAACTTCTTAAATGTTGTCTAAATAAAAGCAGCCATTCAAAAACTTTGGAAACATTTAGATTTGAATCTACAACTTAGAGTAGGTAAATAAATCTTACACATCCGACCAGACATTTAATGCCAGGTTTCAGTTCTTAATACTTTGTGCTAAATAGTTTGGTTGGTACTTGATTGGTTATGTTTAAATTTACGTGTTTCTAGTAAATGTGTAAAAACAAAGACAATCCTCTTTAACCATGGTATGTATTACTGCATAAAATACACTCTGAGTATGATTCTGTGAATAAAAGGTTGTATGATACAGTGAGTCGTGTATCTGCCTGGACGTCTAGTCCCGTCTATCAGCCTGTTCTGAATGCAGTGACTCAGTAGTCATTCAGTAATAGAATGACCACAACAGGGGGGAAAATACCAACAAGCAGACATGAGTGACTAATCTATGTGACAGAAATTTATTGACATTTTCCATGTCACTATTGACTGCTGGTGAGGGAGGTTGTTGCTCCTTTCCAACTGCTGCCATGTCAAGTGGCATGAAGAGAATAGCTCAGTGGAACAAACAATCCAGTCTTGTTTGTAGCTTTCTAAAATGATATGAGAGGTAAGAAAAAAGCAGATCACACAGGGATTTATTATTTTGAGCATCTGTAAGATAACTCCTCAGCTGCTGGTTCAAATCTCAGCAGGAGGGGAAAGTTGGGGTTGCATGGATGTGTCCGTATAAATATAGGTTTCACAAGAACACTGTTCAAATTCTTCACAATTCATGAGGCAGAGGTTACAAGTAGAGCCCGACCGATATGAGCTAGTCGCAGAAAAATTGGTATCTGTGTTTTTAAACGACAAGCCAATAATCGACAATTAAACAAGAGACAGAAGATGGATCCTTCAATTATGTGTTGTCGTTGCATAGTTTGTCCACTATGAGGGCACTCTGCAACTCCCCAGCTGTACTTTTATTCAAAGTACTATTTATAACAATAAAAAAAGTTTATTTTTTAACTGCATTATGTCATGTTATCTTGGTGAGGTCTCATAGCTACATATAACAAATGTTAGGGATAATCTTTGTTTATGTTAAGTGTTTCTAAGACCACTTATATTGAATTCAGGCAAGATATACTGTTTAACTTTTTGTTTCTGTGCCTCAGAAGTCAGTTTTTGAAAGGTTGTGGTATCTCCGGGGATTTCAATAGTAGGATGAAAACATCACAGTTCCCAACAACAGAAGCCTGGATGGTGTAATGTTGGACAGAAACAGATCTGGGACTTGTACGCACAAAGTCTTTGACAAATTTATATTTGCGTCTCCCTATCAGCATAGAGCGCGCGCACACACACACACACACACACACACAAATGAAATAGATAAATTAAAACACTGTACCCATTAAAGTTCCTCGTTGTTTTTGCATATTTTTGCTCAATGACTTAGTTACAGCTAGATATTTTGTAGGGGTGCAACTAATTATTTTCATTTACCTTTCATCTGTTGACTCGATTAATCAATTGCTGTTCCTTAAAAAAATGTTTTTTTAAAATGTCCAAATGAACAAGGTGACATCATCAAGTTGCTTGTTCAGCCTTATCAACAGTAAATATTAAATTTGTATTAATGTAAAAACAGAGAAATGGTGAAAATCCTTGTGTTGGAGTTAGTTGGAACAAGTAAATGTTTGGCCTTTTAGCTTTATTAACAAAATAGGCTAAACGATTCATCATTCATCAGTTGTCAGATAGTCTTCTGTCAATTGACTAATCAATTCATCAAATGATTTCAGCGCTACCATTTTGTCAATCTCAACATTTGAGGAATACTGTCAGGCTATATAGTCCTAATACTAATGTTGCACGGCGCTTAATGATTGCTTGCTTTTCATTATGATCTTTTGCCAGTGTTTTGGCTCTTTTTGAATAATTTTCAGTGTTTACATAGTACATTTCAAACACAACGTCTGGAATATCTTTTATAGGGACGACTGACTGCACTTGGTTAAGCACTTTGCAGGGGCACATCAGTGATCAGTTTTGAGGCTAACTATCTACAGGAAACCTATTACGGAATAATGTACCTAGAAAAAAAATTAATCTTCCAAGTTAGGCTTATAAAAGAAAGTAAATAAAATGTTTGTGATAAAAATCATTTCAAGAAAGGCCTTTACCTTCAGCACTTCAGTGAAAAGGTCAGGACTCTGTAAATACATCAAGGAAAAGAATTAGCCTGAGACTCTGAAGAGCAATAAACCTAAAGCCCAAGAGACCACTCAAAACAAAAGGAGATCACTGGATGAAAGACACTGGATTGAAATTTCACTGCCGTTTCCACATTTTAGACGAACAAGCTTCAAGTAACCTTTTATCTCTGTAACCCCAGCAATAGTTCATCCCCATGGTGGCTGCCTGTACCTCTACAAATAATTGGTTATTGATGTGAAGCAGGCAACAGAATGCACGGTCATGAGGCAGCACTCGAGAGGCTGATTGTAAGGATTTGGCTTGGATTTTGAAGAGAACACCGGGGATCATGTGGTCGGCATATGTCATCACCAGAACAAAACAAACTAAAGCAGACTGCTTGTGCTTAATTTACAACTCAAGGACTTTGCAAAGGCCACGGACAGACTTCGCAAAGGATATTGTTTAAAAAGTTTTATGCATTAAGTATGTATAAGTACAGTATGTTGACCTTGGACACACTTGAGGAGAAAGTCTCCTTATCTTTACCAAGACCACCAGATACATAGCATAGTGCTGGAACAATAATGTACTATGATCATGTATTAGTGGACTGAAAGAAAATTGACAGCAATTGATTCATCATTTAAATAATTTATTAAGCATAAATACCGACCATTAACTGGTTCCAACTTCTAGAGTATAAGTATTTTACATTTTATAACACTGCAAATTGTGTATTTTGGGCTTTGGACTGTTGGCCTGACAAAACAAGCCATTTATAAAAGGACACCTCCTTGGGCTCTGGGAAATTGTTAGTTATTCCACCTCTTTTTCGGTCATTTTATAGACCAAATAATTAACTGATCAAGTTAATTCAAAACATAACGGCGAATTGATAAATAATCAAAATGTTTGATCATGTTGAATTATGTGCAATATAATCTCTGATGTAACTGTGACTGATGTAATCATGTTAGATTCCCTTACATTTCATCATGCTCAATCCTGTACAATGTAACCTTTGACTAAATCAATCTTGCCCTCATTACCTAAACCAAGACCATGTTGCCCACCTGGATGTCACCACAAGATCCTGACCTTTGACTTAGAGGGAGGGAGGACGGTGCCAAGATATCAAGAGAAAGCGTCCCGTTGCATATTACAAACTAACATTGTCTTGTGTGCCATGAGCATTAAGGTGTGACAATACAATAAGAGGTTTTTTGCTCCTTAACCATTGGATTTCAGAAATGCCATGACAGTTTAGTGGTTTTGTGTGTAGTGTGGTTTCCCACTGGTGCTATTGTTTCCCGTCACTGCAAAGTCAGGTACATTAAGTGAGCTGAAAGCTTGAATTAGAGTATGAATTTGCTTGACTAGTGTGTGATAGACTAGTAACCTGTTCAGATCCTGTATGCTGGTAGAATCATCATACACCCCACTGGCCCTGAACAAAAATAAATAGGTATAGAGAATGGATGGATAAATGGATATTGAGGGTTATCGGTTATATATGGCACTCATTCACTATCATCCAGCACGACTAATGCCCTGCCTCCATGTACAACGCTATGGTGAGAACTAATGTTTGCACTTTTCTCACATTCGTTACGTCAAAGGTTAGCAAGGCTTGAGAAGTGAGAAAATGTTCCCATCTGACCAGTCAGTCTATGTCATACAGCGTCCCTGCACAATGGAGAGCTGTGGAGTGAGTCAGAAGCCGTCACATTTAAAATCGCTGGACACCCACACAAAGGTGGCTTTTGTGGTGCCAAAACAAAAGGAGGCTCAAGAAATCATGTGTGGAACTGCGTTAATAATTACATTAAATTGCTCTGAACAATGAGGGCTTTCTAAGCCATCTGTGTGCTACAACAATGATGAATTAACTTTACACTGGTCACTCATTAACAACCAGAGAAGTCAGATTTACTGGTAAATGAAGGAAACATTCAGAAAATAAATCAAAAGAACATACTATGCACTGTTAAGTAAAATGACTTACCTTACCTAGCTTTGATCCATTCAGTGGAAAATTAATCTGTGTTCTATGTAAATATTTATATAAATACTCACTCATCAAACTGTAAAATGGAGAAGTAAACTGCACTGGTCACAAGACACAGCAGCTGTTGATAGAACTGCAGCAGGTCCGGTTTGTCTCGGTTGGGCCCGCCCACATTTATTCAATCTGAACACCACCACACCCACTTTATTCACACCAAAGGGAACTGCAGTTTGAGCACATAACATGTCCCCTGATGGCATAACTCACCCATACCAGTTTAAAAATTGCTTTCTAGTCACTGATGCTCAGTGTCCACAGATACATGGTCTGTCTCTTCTCCAAAGTCAAATACTCTTAGAGTAATAGCCATGGTTCTCACTGAAAGGACATCTGGGAACTAAAATGCACCTCACTGAGGAATCGACCAATGTCACCACCACACTTTGTATTTAGTTTAAAGATAAGGCTTTAGTATTTTCTACATTGCATCTTGTATCTATACTGGAATCATTTTACTGATAGCATGTTACATTTCCAAAGCATTTAAACATTTTATTATATTTTTGCCGCACTTAATCTTTCAGAAATGTAGCTGAAGGTTAAGAAAATCCCTGTTGAATGACAATACAGAGAAGCAAATGGAAGAAAAAGTTGACAGACCTATAAGCCAAGAAGAATATGCTAGGTCTCATCTCTTTTGGACCCCAGGGCACAGAATGAGCTGCCTGAAGCACAAAAGTATTCAAACTCACAGCCTTCTTTTAATTACACAGCTACAAGGTACTTAGGGCCCGATTTACTAACATCCTGAATGAGTACTAAATTGCGTGTGCATTCTAAGATATTGCATGTGCAATTTTAGTACCTGTTATGGGTGATTTACTAAGACTTATTGCGTTGATAACAATAGGCGCAAACACAATGGAGGTGGCAGTATTTAAATGAGGGTTTTGCGGTTTTAATGGTTTCTGCCATGGAAAGTAGGGGAGGGAAAGCAGCCACTGTGTAAAAACCTTGGTTTGGTTCGTTCAGTGCGTCCTGAGTATGTCGAACACACACACACACACCCACCAGCAGACAGGGGGAAGGATCAACGACCGTCCGCACCGTGGGAAGGGTTAAGGCAGTAAATAAATGTATTTGCATGTTACCCTCCCACTACTTTGCACAATAAAATTGAAATGCCCCAAATTGCATATTCATTAAGGCAAAAGTAGTAAATGAACAGCAGGTGCTATCTTGCACTTTTGAAAGACGTCATTTTGTGTGCACACCGTTAGTAGATCAGCTTACGTGTTAATTTACTATTGATATCAAGTTTGCACATGTTTTTACTCACGCAAACCTTTAGTAAATCAGGCCCTTACTTTATTATTTACCATGATACTGTCGGGTGCAGCATTTTGTTTAATTTGTTTTACAATATTGTCTATGGAAACAAAGTTATTTTAGATGTAGCAGAACACAAAGAACAAATGTTAGATGCATGGCCAGGAGAATACACAATAATATATTATTGCTCATAATGTCATCCCACCTGCAACCACAATGCATCCCTCCTGGACTATTTTGTGACTGTCTGAAAATACATACCAAATATTGTAGCTATATCAAAATGGACAATATAAAATACAGCTGAGCTGCTTGGCTGCCACTATAAGCAAGTGACATTCTCAGACTCCCGTGTACTGTAAAATAAAAACACTCTACTGTTTTCACATAGTGCCATTTCTTTTTTCTTTTTTTTTTAAAAGACATTCTGTAGTAAAAGTTTCTACATCATATGTGGGCATATTTCCTCTTAGACACACCATCTTAATGTAATTCATACAGCACATAAAATGATGACAATCAATATTTGGCCTGCCTTGTTAAGTGGAGGGTTAGTTGGTTAATTTTGTATGAATCTATAAAGGTTATGAACTGTATGTCAAAGGAAAAAAAAAATACTTGATGGAAGGCTGCAAAGTTCAAATCTAATCTTATCTTTCTTCCCACACTGTTTGTGTGGGCATGTCCAAACACAAAGCAGTTGTTGCACTTCATGCAGGTGTCCTTTCAATCACTAAGTCAGAGTTGCAGTAATAGCCATAGAATAAACAAATACATTCCATTTTATTGAAATGATTACATCTACAAATATGAATTACCATTCCACAAGAGGGACAGTCTAGTTAGAGATTACAAACATGTAAAATCCAGCAGAGCCCCTTTTCATTTAGTTAAAACGTGATGTACCGACTCCGATTCTTTCAAAGTCGATTAAGATCTTTATTAGCTGTTTATTAGATTAGCACCAGAATCAGCATTTGCTATTCATCTGGGGTGCATTCAATAGTATGTTCATCAACACAAACTATTAAATAACTTCTAAATTTTTTCCAAAACTGCACCAGTTTACATTATACTGCATATTTTATTTTTTAAAAATCAAAAGACATTACACTATTTATAGTAGGTTATTTATTATCTCACCATTTTAATTCTACTTAATTTTCCACTTTCCACTGTAGTGTTTACTCAAAAACACAATTACATTAAACTGTCCTATGAACCATTAATGAAATGTTTATAAAAGTGTACCGTAAAGCAAAATTCTCAGTGTTCATTTAACTCTCATGATGTAAAAGTCAACCGATATCATGTAATTTGATTTGACAGCTATCAAACATCATTCAACAGTTTTACATTGTTTTTATCTGCTCAGCCTAAAGCCATATGAGTCTGTGACTGTGTCTGAAAAAGAAAAATGCCAATCAACACTTGTCAACTTAGATTACTCCCTGAAAAATCAAAAACAAGTCACAGTGGAAACTTTGTTATTTGTATTTGCATTCAATGCGGTGAAGCAGATTCCAGCAGAAATTAACTTAGGTGACGAGTGAAGACTGAGAGGAGTTTGCTGAGGAGGGAGAAAAACATACCAATTTGTGGCATCTGAAAAGTGATGTCACTGTGGAGGCCACATGCAGGGAGCCCACTGCCCTACTGTATAGACATAAAGTGAGAGAGAGGCTGGCTGGGCCACATACCACCATTTTAGGATTTTTCTGCTGTCACGCCATCTGTTTGTCATGTTGGCATTACAAATATCATCCCCTAGACATGAGAAATTTTTTCCTTTCAATCTGACACTGCAAAAACTGGTAGAAGCAAACAGATTTAATTTCTTAATTTGTTTCAAATTTAGCAAACAAATAGTCATTAATATGGTCCCATTTTGTACTAGCATATCTGCCTTAAACAAAGATTAACTACATCTCTGTCATGTAATAATGACGTGAGAAAAACATTCTCTGCTGTTAACCATAATGTACTCCTTTGGTGATATTCAGCATTAATCACAGACACTATATTTTTTCCTTTCTGATTAGATGAAAGAGGTGAATAAACACTTAATTCATCATGAGCTTTTAGTGTTGTGCTACTGCGCAAGACCTATCAAACCATTTAAGAGAAAAAGAAAGAAATGAGGACTTGTTGGTAGGCCAGGACACATGGCAACTGTGACTGTGGATGAGTCACCGTTTGACTGGAGTTTCTTAAAAAGCCCAATAATTAAGAGGGAGTGCCATTCTGTCAAATTCAAACACCAATACACACACTTACACCGATTACCCCATTGTGTGCACGTCACTCTTTTTAACGCCCATTGAAGTATTGTGATTGAAGTACTGTCTGTGTCAGCACGTCATCAGTTAACCATTCACTACGCTTTCAGGGTGAATCGTAAGGCTGGAAACTAGCTTTTTAGACACCTAGCTGCATTATGAACAGAATTGTTTACATTTGTGCCTATGTACCTTTTGTGTTACTGGAGGACTCAACTAGAGGGCACACCAGAGATCTGACCATATCGAACATGCGGATTTGCATGATGTAAACAATAAACATGGCGACAATGGAAGAGATTAATATTTTTAGGGCCGTATGGAGGAAAACATGGACGGAATAGCGTATTTTGATATTAAAACTGAAATCAATTGTAAAACGCAGAATAATGGTGAATCTGCCAAAATGTGGATGCAATTCATAAAAATCTGAGCTTTCCCCTAACATTATAAGCATTTTTTTCACAGCACTTAAGGCAAACAAACAGAAAAAACTATACTGCTATGTTTTAGTGTCATTTACAGGTGCTGCTTTTGTCATCTGCTCTCTGTGTTGGTGTTTTACTGAGGACGCGGCTCAGCGACTCCTCTACACATACAGACACACTGTGCAAGCAGAAGCTTCAACAAATCCTCAAAAGTGCAACCACATCAGCAGATACAAATGCGCGCTTGCTGAAGAAAAAATCTACACCGGTCCAGCTTTGTAAACAAGGAGGAGTGATGCCCTCGCGAGAGTAGACTCCGTAATTATCAGTAATCAACTATGGTAATAACCTATTTAATAGAGGACAATTCACAATAGGCCTACATGTATTGCAACAATGCATTGATTGTGAATTGTCCCCTGTTAAACAGTATTTTAATATCCTACTGTTGCAATATATTTCTTATGAATTGTCCCCATAAATAATTGCACATCTTTGAATAATATTATTTTATTTGCATGATACATCAAATTCATTGATATTGAGTACATTTTTAATAGTTTCTTAATGGATTGATGAAATTTGAGAATTTCAGATGATTACACACTCTTTCTGATGACAAAATGTGCTTAAATTGTAAAACACAGAATTTAGGAAAATTCAAACAGAAAACCCCGAATTTGGAAAAATTCAATAAAAAGGTTTTCATAGATTGATTCACTGATTGACATTTTCACTGTTTTCTGACATTTTATAGCCCAAACAACTAATCGAGAAAATAATCGACATTAATTGACAATGAAAACAATTAGTTGCAACCCTACAGCCTTTCTAAGGTCAACTTGACGCGACCATATTTAGATGAGTTGATATTACACACATACAGTTGAGTAATTAATGACATGAAAGGACAGTTTTACCAGTCATTGTTAATGCATTACCATTCTTCATTTTATTAGGTTTGATATGAAATAATGCAATCTCATCACAACACATTATCTTTATAACAGGGACCAATATAACTGCTGAACAGCGGGGTCTACAAATACCGCCACTCT